TCAAGCCACCTGTGAGACTAGGCTACCGCTCAGAAAGCCTTGAGTTCCAGTGTCACAGTTTTTTCCTATTCCTCTTCTATTGTAGCAGGAGCAGATGGAATCTGTAGGCTAATTACATGCATACTCTTTTCTATAACTTTCCTGTGATGTTTGATTTGTTGCTGGTGGATATATCCAGAATCCTTTCAAAAAGAAAGCTCCATAAAATAAAAAAAAAAAGAAAGAAAAACAGTACCGATCACAATAGTGAATCACAAAATTAAATACTTGGGAGTAAATATAACTAGAACTTCAAAAGTTTTATTCAAAGAAAATTACAAAACATTACTACAAGAAACAAAACAAACCTGGAGAAATGGAAGAACATCCCTTCCTCATGGATAGAAAGACTCAATATTATGAAAATTACAATCCTACCAAAGGCAATTTACACCTTCAGTGCAATCCCAATACAAATACCAATTCCATTCTTCAACAAGATAGAAAAGGCAATCTCCAATTTCATTTGCCGTGGAAAGAGACCTAAAATAAGCAAAGCACTCACTCCTTAAAATGAGAAACAAGATAGGAGGCATCTCACTCCCTGATTTCAAATCCTACTACACTGCTATGGTGGTCAAGACAGCGTGATACTGATTCAATGATAGACACATAGGTCAATGGAATAGAATTGAAAATCCAGAAATCTGCCCATCTACCTATAGCCAACTTATTTTTGACAAGGAGATGAAACCAGTTAAGTGGGGAAATGACAACCTTTTTTAACAAATGGTGTTGGCAAAATTGGAAAGCCATCTGCAGAAAACCCAAGCAAGACCCACACATCACACCATACACAAAAACCAACTCAAAGTCGATCAAGGACCTAAGACTAAAATCAGGGACTACAAACTTCATTAGAGAAATCTTGGAAGAACCCTGGAAGCTCTAATCCACAACATGAACAGTCTTCTAAGCATCCTGAAAACCCTACACCCAGGAGAGGATAAAAAAGATGAACAGGAACTTCTAAGAATCAAATCCCTATGCACAGCCAAAAACTTCTCCAACAGAGTAAAAAGGGAAGCCACAGACTGGGGAAAAATATTTGGTAATGACATGTCTGATAAGGTACTTGTATCTAGAATTTCTAGAATACTCGAGCACCACAACAAGATAAAGGTAAACAAACCAATTGCAAAATGAGCACAGGATATAAACAGACACTTCCCCAAAGAAGACATTCAGATGGCAAACAAATACATGAATAAATGTTCAAAATCCCTGACTCTAAGAGAGATTAAAATAAAAATATGTGTGAGATATCATCTCATCACAGTAGGAATAGCAAAATTCAACAGAGCAGCAAACAACAAATGCGGGCGAGGTTGTGGAGAAACTGGAACCCTTATTCACTGTTGATGCGAGTGTATAATGTTGCAACCACTCTGGAAGGCAAGATGGTGCTTTCTCAAAAAGTTGGAAATAGAAATACCATTTGACCCTGCAATTCCACTATTGGGATATTCATCCCCTAAAGAAACCAGAACTGACACCCAAGCAGATATATGCACACTCATGTTTATTGCAGCTTTGTTCACAATAGCAAAGAGTTGGAAACAACCCAAGTGTCCATCAACAAACGAATGGTTAGAGAAGCTGTGGTATATTTACACAATGGAATATTATACAGCACTGAAAAAACAATGAACTCATGAAATATATAAAATGCGTGACCATGGAGCACATTATGCTGAGTGAAATACTTCAGTTATAAAAGGATAAATACTGCATAATGCCAATGTTATCAAACTGGACTGGCCTGGGGGCTAGGGGGGAAACTAAGAAAAGAGGGGATAAATAATGTACACAGCATTGAAACAGACTAGGGAGAGAACTGTATAAAAGGAGCATATGATTAGTTATTATTGGCATGACAAGAGTCCAGAATAAGAGCTGCGTAGTAAAATGAACTGGGAGCAGGGGGCTATATAATAATGAAAGAATTTTTTTTATTCTAAAGAGAAAAGCGAACGGGGGGGAGGGGGAGCATGGAGGAAAAGGTGCAAACAATGAATGAATGGAAATCCAAGTTCTCTATAAATTTTCAATAAAATATTAAAAAAAAAAAAGTTAAGTGCAACTGATCCAAGCCATAGTCTTTTTAGTTACTTTCTGACAGCTTGAATCCACTAACAATTCCCCAGGAGAAAGATGGGCAGTCTCCTCCCTTTCATTGCATGACTTCTGGAAACTTACTGTAGGGTGAGCTATGAGTCAGTTCCAGTCTGACAGCAATGAGAGAGAATGCATTAGCACAGGTAAGCACATGTCTTTGCTCATATAATACAATTAAAAAGTTCTTTTCCAAATAAATGGAGGCTGTTTTTATTTTGTTTTGACAACGTGTTTTTATAGATAGTTTGGATAGGTTTTTTTTTTTCCTTTAAGAAATGCTTATTTATTGTGTTTTGTTCCTTTCTATTTTAAAAACTCCTAATTTGATACTCTAGGCTTTTTTCTTTTAAAAACCATGAAATTTAAATAGAGACTTACTAGTGAAGAAGATAGAGCCAAGTGACTCTGGACTTTGGCAAATTTTATGGTAGTTAATCTGTAAATGGTTATTTCTTAGCATTTTCATAAAACAGTATTTTTTAATCTGAAGAAAAAATATTTTTTTAACCTGTCATTACCATTGACATTCAGAAAGATATTGAATGCATTCAAGTTTGAATAGATACTCGAAACTGCTTGAAACTCTGTATTGTCCTTTTATTCGTGACTGTTGTGAAGTTGCATGATATTCTGCAATTAAAATACCACAGAACTATTCCCCACAGTAAGATGTCAAAGAGCCTAGCGTCGATAGGGAAAATGTTCAGTATGAGTAGTAATAATTTATACAGCTAATATACCGGGGGAGAGAGGGTTATAGCATGCATATAAGCATAGTCAAAGTCGTCTAATACGTAGGGACAAGAAGAGGAAGCCATCAACTTTAGGCATAAATTTGATGGCTAATATTCTAGAAGGGAACCGGCACCTCTCTGGTGGTTCCAATCTACTAGCTGTTCCATGGGAAAAAATGGGCAGTCTCCTCCCTGTGTGACTTACAGCCTGTGAAACCCACTGGAGGGTTAGCTATGAATTGGTTCTAACTTTATGGCAATGAGTTTGAGGGTTTTTGAAAAAGTATGCGTCATCATAATTTTCATTAATAAGGAAGCTCTGAAGCTCTGGTTGCCTATAAGAAATTGTGCTGTCAACCTTAAAACACTCAGTTCAAATTCACAAGCTGCTCCTCAGGAGGAAGATGAGCAGTCTTCTCTCATGTGATTCACAGCCTCGGAAAACCCACTGGAGGAACAGAGAGGAGTTGTTTCCAAACTGACAGTACACAACAATAATTTTCTTGATGTGCTCTCCTGCCCTACTCTGGAGTTTCCTGAAGTGAACACGTGAGCAGCAGCATCTTTGCTGTAAATAGAAGGAAAATAAATGTGCATGAGGGGCAGTGATCAGAAAATGAAGGGTTCCATAGTCCAAGGATCCCTCTCCAGTGCAGACCATTTCTAAAAATGGCAAAAGAATATAGGCAATGCTGATCTGGCTGTTCATGCTCAGTTCATGCTGTTAATTGTTTGTTTAGCACTTTTATTCCTTACGTATCAATACACTACAGAAAGAATGAAGCAAAAGGAAGATTGACAGGGACCACAGCTATAAAGTAGAGGAAGATTATTGAGGTTACCACATCTAGATGAGGCTCTTTTGAATCATGGATAAACAATCTTTCATCCTTACTTATGTAGTTCACCCAGAATTCATGTCATTAAACACATTTCTAAAAAAAAAATCTGTCTATAGATATGCAGTTGTCAGAATGCTAAGGAAATTACCATGTAGTGTTCAGAGTACAAAGAACTAAAAAAGTCCATGAGGTTTAGACATTTCTATGCTTCTTAGTTGAAAACATACATAAAAATAGCCATGTAGATGACTAAGGCAAATTATTCCGATTCTGAGCACCTATCTTTGGTCAGTGCCGAAGGGACATGCATCAAGTTTCAATGTCTAAAAAAAGTTTCTTTTCAGCCAAGCAGAACATTTGTTCCATTTGCCATTCCATCAGATCCTGTTTACCTTTCTTTGACCTTTTCTAATTCGATTTTCATTTCATTGCTTCTCCCTCCAAAAGCCTGAGAGCAGGAGCATAAATCTCTTCTTATCTGGCTCAGCCACAGGCTCTGGGAGCTGAGGTCATTTATATAGTTTTCCTTCCCAGGTTCCTCATCTGTATGATAGAGATAGGACTATCTTCTCAGTGCAAGAGGCCTGAGAAAAGGATGAGAAAAAGATGTTGTTAAAAAAGCCATACGAAAATAGAAAATAGTTGCTGTGCACATTATCTGTGACAGGAACTTACATGATCTGTTTTGTCTTGATCAGATTTTTCATGGGGCAGATTGACTAGTGTCACAGACCAAACACTTCATTGATGTATTTCCCAGGAGATACTCCCCGCCCCCGCCGTGGTTAGTGTTTTATTTTTCAAAGAGGAGTTCTAAAACATCAAACTAAATTAGTCAAAAGCTAACATATGTAAATGATTGTTTACTCTACAAAATCTTCATCTTAGAGTGTATGATACACCTAGTTGGCAGTAGCACCCAGGTTTTCATTTTTCTCTGGTCTGTGAAGACTTCTCATTAGCTGCCTTGTGCTTTTGTTGCATGATCTCAGAATCTCTCTCCTTTCTCTGAGAAGCAGTCGAGCTGTCCTCTTTTCTTTTTCCCTTGCTAATCTCCTGGGTTTTCTTCATGTTTTTCTGGCTGGCAAGTTATCTCTGATTTCCACAGGCCATCCCAACCACCAGACAGAGCCTGAAAGAATGCGACTAGAAAAATCAACGGTTCCCTGGAAAGCACTAGGAGATACTTCTTAAGACCAGTTTCCTTCCTGATTATAAGGGATCCAAGTCTGCCTAATTACATTATGTCTATTATTTCTCCCTGCAGTTGGCTCCGAAAACCCACCTTTGACAGTAATTCGCAAGTTTGTGCACCTTTTGGACCAGAGTGACTTAGATTTCCAAGAGGAGCTAGAGGTAGCGCGATTAAGGGCAGAAGTGGTGACCAAAATCAGGGCTAACCAGCAGCTGGAGAAAGACCTTAACCTGATGGACATCAAGATTGGACTCCTGGTGAAGAACAGGATCACACTGCAGGTTTGTGGGCCTTTGTGGGATAGAAGAGAGAAAATGCACAGAAGTATTGCCCATACCATATTGGCCCAGCTAAACTCATTCAGAATCTAGAATTATGTTGGTCAAAGCATTAATCATTTTTATTAAAAATCAGTGATTTTTCAGTTTTGGAAATATTTGTACCTCCTTTTTGTTTTACAAGGCTTCTTTACCATTCTCAAATTTATTTTGGATACAGTATAAACTAGAGAACTCTGGTGGCCTAAGTGATAAGAACCTGCACTGCAATCCTGAAGGCATTCAGTTCAAATCCACCAGCTATGGTTAGTTCTGACCTGAAGACACACAATCACAGCATAGTGTAAACTACTTACAGTATATGTTCATGTTAACTGCCATTGAGTCAGCCCCTAGTTAATGGAAACCTCATGCCTTCTATCTTCATAGTAAGACTAATAGCACAAATGAAATAGAAATAATTTATAATAAAAACACATTTTTCAATATAAAAAGTGTTGGACCAGACCATATTCAAAGAGGACCAATGGGTGAAGTATGCAGCTAATAACCATAGGTTGGTGGTTTGAACCCATCAGCTGCTCTGTAGGAGAAAGATAGATAAGTCTGCTTTTGCAAAGATTTACAGCCTTGAAATTTCTATGGAATAGTTCTGCTCTATCCTGTGGGGTCACTGCAAGTCAGACTTGATTCAGTGCACTGAGGCTAGTTTGGGATTTGGCCACATCAAAACATAATAATAATGTTGCTAGAAATGTCACAGGATAATCAGAAACAAGAAATGCACAAGTGAGACTGACCAGGGTGTGTGTCCATAATCTCATTTTCCTAACTGAAAATCAATCTTATGATTAATATTAAGCAAAGAATTCTCTCTCCCCAATATATACAGCAATTGCAGACCAAGAAAACCTTGATGTCTTTTCAAATTATAAAGGAAAATGTATTGTACTTGCATATCAAATAGATTCTAGGTTCAAATATTGACAAATAGCATTTTTTAATTACATAAATGTTCACAAGAACTTTGAAAAATTCTGTCATGCAAGAGGTGGGGTAATTATTTGTGTGCAGATTGTCCCATAAGTTTACAGGTCAGTAAGGCAGGTAACATTCCAGGACCCTTACTCACTCAATGCCAAGAGTGCCCTCTTGAAGTATGGTGCTGGTTGTTATTGTTAAGTGCCACCAAGTCCGAACTGACTCATAGTCTACCCTCCAGCAAGTTTTCAGAGGCTACAGCCTCTGAATCTTATGGGAAGAGATTGACTGTCTAGCTCCCTTGGAGCAGCTGGTAGATTTGAACTGCCTACCTTTGGATTGGCAACATAACCCCTTACCCCCTAGGCCACCAGAGCTCCCTTCCAGAATGTTACTGCCTCCACTAAGAGATTCTGAATAAATTAATCATCCTTTCATTCTGTGTGATATCTTCCAATGCCAGAGCCCTATAAAACATTGTAAAAAGTACCATTGATACCTAAGAACAGAAAATAGCTGGGGTAAGTAATTTCTCCTTGGCCCAACCCCTTTCTATTACACAATGTCAGTTTTCTATAAACTGATAAGTTAGGGGGGAAGCTTTGAGAAGATGCAGTTGGTTATAGGTTAGAACAAGTCATTCTAGAAAACTAGGAGAGAAGCGATTACAGGAGGCAGTAACCAGTCCGTTCAGGATGGGGGTTGTCTGAGTGCCTTCTCTATGTGCCAGCTCCCCACATACCAGACACCACATAGCTAAAGGGAAAACAGTAGGTGATGACAAAACAGAGGAAATTAATGTCTTCTCTAAATATTAAGGATTAAAACTTCAGTTAAAGTGTTCTGTATTCAGTTTTCATTTGTTGCTGTTGTTGATTGCTGTTGAGTTGAGCACGACTTATAGTGACCCTATGAACAAAATACCTGAAGCCTTTCTATAACTATCGTCATTTCTCAAAGTTCAGAGAGTTTCCAGAGGCATGTGATTTAAGAAGTGGATGCCACTCCTGCTTTCAACCAAAAAGAAAAATAGTGATTTGTGCTTTTAAAGACAATTGTAAATTTTTGATACATAAAAGCACTTCTAAAGTATAATATATTCCAGAAAGTCCTTCAGAGAATGCCTTTTATAACTTCAGTCTGCTGTTTTACTCTCTCCCATGAAGCTGTAAACAGGAAATGTCTTGCCTCCAGGAGAAAAGGTTTAGTTCCAAAATAGTCAGTAGTCTAACTAAGAAGTTGCCTTGTAGAAATGGAGTCACAGCCGAGTTCCAGATGTTTATAAACGTTTGAAATTTTTTATTGTCATTAATTGATCATAGTGTTATGTAAATTTAATTTTTCAACTTGTATTTTCAAATACTGAAACTTACCAAGCACATGTTAGATAGATGTTAAACTAGTGAATACTGAAATATCTAGTCTTTAGTCTTACTAACAGTTTCCATCTTTTTTGTCTAAATACAGGAATCATGCAGTTGAATATTCATAAATAAGAGTGGGGAAGTTCTGTTTATTGCAGTGAGAAATTGTTGTGTTGTTATGTGCTCTCGAGTTGCCTGTAATTCATAGTGACTCTATGTACAACAGCCCTAAACCCTGCTCTATACTGTGCCAATCTTATTGTCTCTGACACACCTACCCCCATTACCCCAGTCACTGAATCAATCCATCTCATCAAGGGTCTTTCTCTCCGGCACTGTCCCTCCACCCTCCCAAGCATGGTGTCCCTCTCCAAGGACTGGTCCCTCCTTGCAACATGTCCAAAGTATGTCAGACGAAGCTTCAGAATCCTTGACTCCAAGGAGCAGCCTGGCCTCACCCTCTCTAGGATGAACCTGTTTGTTCTCCTAGTTCATGGTATATTCAATACTCTTCTCAAATACCACAGCTCAAAGGCATCAATTCTCCTGCTATTATCCCTAGTCTTGTCTAGCATTCTGATGCTTAGCAAGTCACTGCAAAGACTATGACCTGTATCAGGCACACCTTACTCTCCACACTGACATCGTTGCTCTTCAGTACTTTGGAGAGGTCTCTGACAACAGACTTTCCTAATGCAATTCATCTTTTAATCTCCTGGTTGCTGGTTCCAAGAGTGTTGATTGTGGAGCAAAGCAAACTATAGCTGTTAACAATCTCATTTTCTTAACATCTATCATGATGCTGCCAATCGGCCATAGATTCTCAAAATCAAAACAATAAACATAGGATAGTAGAATGAGTTGAGCATGTGTGTTATATACCTAATAAAAATGTTTTTAAGACTATTTAAAGGCACAAGAAAATGTGCAATAAAATACAAACACATGAAGAAATGCTCAAAATCACTGGCAATAAGAGAGATGCAAATTAAAACCACAATGAGATACCATCTCACTCCAGTAACAGTGTCAAAGTTTAATAGAACAGCAAGTAATAAATGTTGGAGAGGATGTGGAGAGATAGGAACTCTTGGTGGAATTGTAAAATGGTACATCCACTCTGGAAGGCAGTTTGGCTTTTCCTCAAAAGGTTGACTGTATAAATTCCCTATCATCCAGCTATTCCACTGCTTGGAATATACCCTGAGAAAATGAGAACTGAGATGCAAATAGAGACTTGGACACCAATATTCATAGCAGCATTATTCACCAATGCAAGAACAAGGAAACAGCACTAATGTCCAACCACAATCTAAGGCATTGAGAAATTATGGTATATTCACACAATGCAATATTATGCAGCATGCGGAGCAATGTAAATCACTACCTAACTTGGGAGAGACTAGAAAGCATTATGCTAAGTGAACTAACTCAGTGCCATAAGGACAAATAATGTATAATACGGATATAATATAATATGGATTATCAAGGCTCAATATCAAGAAGATAAAGATTCTCACCACTGGGTCAATTGGCAGCATCAGGATGGATGGTGAAGAGATTGAGATTGAGATTGTTCACAGTTTTAGTTTGCCTGGTTCCACAGTCAACACTCTTGGCATCAGCAGCCAGGAAATAAAAAACCATATTGCGATGGGAAAGTCTGCTGTTAGGGACCTCTCCAGGGTACTGAAGAGCAGAGGTGTCACTCTGGAGACTAAGGTGCACCTGATACAGGTCATGGTCTTTGCAATCACTTGTTATGCATCAGAGAGCTGGACAATGACTAGGGAGGATAGAAGGAGAATTGATGCCTTTGAGCTGTGGTGCTGGAGAAGAGTATTGAATGTACCATGGACTGCTAAGCAAACAAACAGGTTCATCATGGAGAGGGTTGAACCAGGTTGCTCCTTGGAGGCAAGGATTCTGAGGCTTCATCTGACATACTTTGGACATGTTGCAAGGAGGGACAGGTCCTTGGAGAGGGACGTCATGCTTGAGAGGGTGGAGGAAAAGTGCAGGAGAGGAAGATCCTCTATGAGGTGGATTGGATCCGTGACTAGGGTAATCAGGGTGGGTGTGTTGGAGACAGTGAGATTGGTACAGGATAGAGGAGGGTTTAGGGTTGTTATACATAGGGTCACTCTGAGTCACAAGCGACTCAATAGCACATAACAACAACACCAACATCATTATTGTAGAATGTGTATGAGGATCCAAGGGGGGAGAGGGGAGCAGAGGATAGGCGGGGGGTGGAGGGTGTATAATCATGGGGTCACACAATGTGATAGGGGAGGGAGGGATGGGTAAAGAAAATAAGAGTCTGTGAGAAAAACAATATATATGAACTTTATAAGTAAATTGGTATCAAATAAAAATTGTATTTATTTAAAATAAAAAAGAAAATGTTCAATAAGATGAAGAAAATAATGCTTAAAACAGTGTCATCTATTGAGAAAAGCTAGAAGGGAAAAAACCCTGAGCAATGCTTCTTTGAGTGGTAGAATTAAATTTAGATATTTGTTTGTTTAAAATGAGTGGGTGTTCAGTAAGGAGAAGATGGTCTCAAAATTAAAGCAATTTTCAATGTAACTCTAGTTTCCAAGTGTTGTAGAGGTCTTTTAAAATTACTATTCCTCCTAACATCTTCAGAATCTC